AGAGTTGCATCCTCGGGATAAGCTGCTTCATCTCCCGCTTCTGGATCAGGTATGAAATTCGGTCCTACTCGTTCTGCTTCGTTGGTGTTGAGTGTCGCAGGTGTTACGTAAACGTTGTCGGCGAAGTAGTAGAAGGTTTCGGCATTGACACTTTCGCGAGGGTTGTCTGCGTCCATGGGAACGTCGACGGAGCAGAACGGGAGAGGTCCGGCTTCTTCTGACGCGATGTCCACATTCTGCTCATCCCAGTCAGCTTCGTCTTCTGCGAAGGCGAAGGCTCGGTCGCCACGAAAACCACCTGTGGGATCTTGGTCCTCTTGCAGGTTGGCAAGGTACGTCTGGAGCGTGAGTCGTTCGTAGAAAATGACGTCACGTGCTTCTACTGTTTCCTTGGAGTGGACGTCGAAGATTTTCCACGCGTTGTAATTCTTTTCGATGCCGAGGTGTAGTCCCCACTATGCGCGTTGTGAAAATCGGCCCGCTCGTGCTGCTGGGGGTCGATACTGTACCATGCATCTGAACACTCGTAACATTTTTGTGCTGCCCTGTTTCCCTGTCCACAGCAGATGCGGTGATGCGTTGTTTGGAAGCGACGATGACAACAGCAAGTTGTGCAGCATGACAGCGTGGTCCATTGCTGCAGGCCAGTGGTGGTTGGGTAGCCGCATGCCACGTAACAGTTTGCGCATGCTGTTCTGCAGAGTCCTGTTCATTCTTTCTGCTACACCTTGCTGCTGATGGGCGTAGGGAAGAGAGAGGAGCTGCTTGATCCCCCTTTCCGCCAGGTACTGCTTGAATCGCTGAGAGGTGTATTCTCCTCCTCCGTCTGACTGGAATCTTTTCAGCTTTACGCCCGACTCTCTCTCTGCTACTGGTAGCGAAGCATGTCGCGGCTGGGTAGGTTTACGTGCCAGACGTAACGGGTGGCAGCGTCGATGAAGGTGATTGTCTAGTTGTAGATTGCTTGTCCTGGTTCCCGATTGTACAGGATGTCGCTATACACCTTTTCGAGTGGTGCGTACGCGGGTGCGCTCGGGTTGTGACGAGGAGCGAACGGCCGATGTGGTAAGTCGGCTTCGGGGCAGGTAAGGCATGTTCCTCGTGCCCGTTAGAGTTCTCTGCCGTCGAGTAGTAGTAACGAGTCCTTGTCAAGGACTCCTGCTCTTATTGTGTTGTTTTAACACATTGTTGCTTGGGTGTCCCATCATTGCGTGCCAGGTGCTTTCGTCGGCGCGATGTCCGGGTGATCGTCGGTACATATCGGAGTTGGAATAGAAGCTGGTGGTGAAGTTTGCGCTACGATGAACTTCTCGTGGTGCTGGGTGGAGCTGTTGTGCTGGTGTTGGTGGTGTTTCGTCAACGAGGACTGGTGTCGTTGTTCCTGCTACTGCCGATGATGTCTCTGCTGCTGCCGATGATGTCTCTGCTACTGCCGATGTTGTCTCTGCTACTGCCGATGATGTCTCTGCTGCTGCCGATGTTGTCTCTGCTGCTGCCGAATGTTGTATTGTTACTAACGCGCGTGTTCGTTCTGCTTCAAGAATGGTATGTGAATACCAAAAGCCTGTCGAAATATGTTATTCATATTGATATAATTGTCTGTAGTGTTAGTGTAGTTATGTTTCCCGTTTGGTGGTGCACCTCATTACCCTAGTTCTTGCCTATATCTTTGTACCTTTGCTCTTTATTGAATCCTTTTTCAACACTCTCGATACTCAATTCACTCGAACTACTAGCTATGGCTCCTTAGCCTTGCTAGATCTTTCACAAAGCCTTCCGGACTGAAGTCTGGATCGAGGTCTGGAGGATGTGTCCAGTCGGTGAAGTTAACGATGGCGTCGCTGTCGGCGGTGCCAAGGTCAGGGACAAAATCGAGGACGAAGACGTTGTTCTTGAGGACCGCCTTGCCGATGTAGAGACCTCCTCTCCCGTGACACAACTTGAATTATTGGGTGGTGCTGTCTGCTTTGAGATGTATGCCTTTCGCCATCAGCTGACTAACGCTCAGTAAGTTGTAGCCGAGTCCCTCCGCAATTAGTACTTTTGACATCTGTAGTATAACATTTGTTTCTCGTGACTGAAGTTGCACAATCCCTTGTCGTCGTGTGCGCAGGTTCTGGTTATTGGCGACTGTGATGACGACCTCTCGTTGAAGTCGGTGCTCGCGTTGAACGAAGCGTCCCGAGGAGCACATGTGCTGTCCGCAGCAACTGTCCAAGAACCATGTGTCATTCCCGGGCGGTTCGCTTTGAGCGATGGCGGCGTACGTCGGGTTCGGTTGAACTGACTCGTGACGAGGCATGCTGTTGTCGAGTTGTTCTTCTGGTGAGTAATATGGTGGTGACTCAGTTACGCAGGAGTCGCTCAGCCTTGCCATGCAGCTGATGATGTTTCTTGTTTCTTTCGCAGGTTGTCCCGTCGATGTTGTTGAGACTTGTACCGAAGTTGTCGGATTTACTTGCGTTGAGGCGACTTGACTGCTTGAAGGGCGAAGTTCGCGTTGTGGCGAAGTTGACTGTTGTCGATTCGGGCAGTGCGTACGAGGATGCCCTGAAGTCTTGCAGAGGTGGCAGAACGGAGGTACGATTTTCGGTCGACTGTTGTTGTTGTGACGCCGTTGAGTGTGAAACGCAAATTCGGGTACTGATACCTTTCTCTTGTGTCGTTCTTCTTGCAGGTCCATGTCTTGCTGCTCAGCATGGATTTCAGCGCAGAGTGCTGCTTCGGAGATTCTCCCGTGTGCTCGTAGTATGGCGCGAGTGGAGCGCCAGTGAGGGCCAAGACCGCCGATGACAACCGTGACGAAGGCGTCTTCTGAAATTGATCCTCCACATCGAAGAAGCTTGTCGCGCAGCTCGCGGCAGCGACTGATATATGCCATTCCCTTCTCGCCTGGTTTCATTTCGATTGTTGTCAGCTGCGCCATTAACCGACTTTGGTTTACGATGTCTGTTGCTTGATACAGGTTCCTCAAGTGATTGTACGCGAGCTCCGCGGAGTTGCCATAACCTCGGTAAGTCCTTATGTTCTGCTGTTGAGTCGGGGTGATGTTCCTCAGTAGTATCGTGTACGCCATCATCGATTGATAGGTGTACTGTTGCTTCTCATACTGTGTGCTGTTTGTTGGGTATGGCAGGGACCCGTCGAAGAAGCCAAGGATTTGCGCTCCTTCCATCATCAGCTCGAATTCGAACGACCAGGTAAAGAAGTCCTTCCCGTCGAAAGGTTTTGTCGTTTGTAGTTTTAAAACGTGCGCGAGCCGCGCTGGGGCTCGTACGGAGCGAAGGTAGGTTGTTGTTGTTGTTGATTCCAGCGTGCGTAGGATGAGCCATCGAGACTCATGGGTGTCACGTTGTTGTTGTTGCTGTTGTTTGATTGCGCAGGTACTCCTTGCTGATGCTGCTCGTAGAAGGACATGAAGGAGAAGAACTTCTCCATCATGCTTGGATCGAAGCCCGCGCCTTGGTTTGCGGGTGTTTCAGTAGACCCAGCGGCCGGTCTCGTTGTTGTGCCTTCCTCTGTCTGTAGGCCAGAGGCAAGAGGTGGAGTAGGAGTAGTACCAGGAGAGCCGTTGGAGGAGCTCCTCTCCTTTCTGGTCGACATGTCTCTTGGTGTAATTTAAGGGGAAATAGAATTTTAACCCTAACCAGCTCTCATACCATGTTGGGCTGAGTGCCCCTTAGGATCTTTGGTAGGGTTAATCTCTGGGTAGAATGATGTAGTAGCGGAAGCGTTAACAAAGAGATTCTGAACCACCTTGCGCTAGTATGTGAAGGCAAAGTAAGTTAATTAAAACAAGGAGATACAAGATTTGATATATGATTACAAGGAATACGAAGAGATACGAATGATGATTGTTTTACTGTTGGCTGTTGCGGTTCGATACAGTGCGACTCCGGCAACTGCTCAATATCGAGTCAGTTGTGTGTCCTTGCTGTCGCGCTGCATTCGTCAAGTCAAAGATCGCTGACCTTTGACCTTCGCGTAACCTCCAGCTGTTGCTTCAACTTCCGAGGGTTGACTCGCTGGTGCCTCAATATGCGTTGATTCATTTGTGTCTTTAGTGTTTCGACACGACAGAGGCGCTTAGGAGGACCGATTGTTTCCAACAAGAAATACAAACAGAGCAAACACCCACAACACGTTGTGGTTCCATTTCAACCTTTAAAAATATGTACTTGAACTTATACCCATGTCTTATAAAAAATATACACTATGTACAGACCCCCCCCCCGGTGTTTTTAATTATTATTATTATTACTACTATTTTTTTTTATAAGACCCTGAGGTCTTTTATCCGGTGGACTACGGTATGTACAAGGTAGCATAGTGGTATTTACACCTGCTTCTCAACAAAGCAGCCATGCAATGCAGTAAACGTGACACTTCTGCGAGCATGTGGCTATGGCTACCAGTTCAAATCCTGCCACCACTCCCACACATGATCCACAGACAAGACCAGTGTGGCGAAACCAGCACCTTCCTTCCAATGCCCGAATTACCAATTCACACGACACACACTCTTTAAAGCAACGCTCTCTATTGAAACCTCCCACACGCAGAACCTGCCGGAGGCTGTAATGGTGCTTAACCAGCATGAGCATCTCCTCCGGCACCTCAACCACGTGACTTTTAAGTCCACTCTTAAGTTAGCCGGAGGCTGTAACGGCACCAACCCAGCGTTTCCTCCACCTCCAGCACCTCGACCACCACGCTGTGTGTGGCGTGCGTCCTGTGGCAACTCATCCACACATGCGGCTGCACGCAGAACGCACGAGTGGTGACTCCTTCCCGGCATGGCCTTACCCCAATAAAGCCCATTCAAGACCACTTACTGCCCCTTAGCGCCCTCCACTGCGCGCTGCCCTCACTGCAGGCCGCCCAGTGCGTCCTCCAGGGCCCTGGGCAGCCCACAGATGCCGCACCAGGGCCCTATCGGGCTCTGTGAGCTCGCGATGGGGCACCACAATCAGCCTCCCGCGCCACTCTTCTTACTGCCCTTACTGCCCTTGCTGCAGGCTACCCAGTGCCTCCTCCAAGGCCGCATACACCACCCGATCCCGCTCCTCGCTTGCAATGCCCCCCCACATGTGCCGCACCATGGCCCCCTGCGGTCCTGTGAGCTCCTGGTGCGGCACCACGATCACCCTCCCCCGCCACTGCGGCCAGCGCACCACCTTGTTGAGGCGGTCCTGCTCCCACACGTGCCCGTACAGGTGGTAGTCACCGCTGTACTCGCCGTACCACTGCTGGAGGAACTGCAAGAGCAGTGAGGGGGAAAGGGAGAAGAGCAGTAGAATGATCATCATAGTGGGGTTGATGTGCCACCTGCTTCGAATTGGACTGCCTCTGCTCCCACACGTGGCCGTACAGGTGGTAGTCGCCACTCTGCTCGCCATACCACTGCCAAAGGAACTGGGAGGGCAGCGGGAGGGAAGGGGGCAAGAGCAGTGGAACGATTGTGTATGTGAGAGAGAGACAAATGGGAAGGCAGTGAGTTGAATCACCAACACAACTGATTAAGGCTTGGAATGGCACCTGATTCTGCAACGGACTGGAAAACAATGACCTGCTACTGATGCGAGCTTGAAGTTGTCTGATGCGAGCTTGAAGCTGTCTGATGCGAGCTTGAAGCTGTCTGATGCGAGCTTGAAGCTGTCTGATGCGAGCTTGGAGCTGTCTGATGCGAGCTTGAAGCTGTCTGATGCGAGCTTGAAGCTGTCTGATGCGAGCTTGAAGCTGTCTGATGCGAGCTTGAAGCTGTCTGATGCGAGCTTGGAGCTGTCTGATGCGAGCTTGAAGCTGTCTGATGCGAGCTTGAAGCTGTCTGATGCGAGCTTGAAGCTGCTTGATTACCTCCTCAAAACGGCACCTCTCCCACAGTGATAAAAACAAAAAAACCACCTCAACCGCACACCACCACTCCCACATTGATATGTCCCCTCTCTTCCCTTGAGAGCATGTTTTCGCCCCCTGTGTTCCCCACACGTGTCAACCACTCACCTGTACCCCACAACATTCTACGGCCAATCATTCCCTCACCCCCTTTCCACTTGTCTGGGCCATTGGCTTCCCCCACAGCCATTGGCTTTCCCCACAGCCATTGGCTTTCCCCACAGCCATTGGCTTTCCCCACAGCCATTGGCTTCCCCCACAGCCATTGGCTTCCCCCACAGCCATTGGCTTCCCCCACAGCCATTGGCTTCCCCCACAGCCATTGGCTTCCCCCACAGCCATTGGCTTCCCCCACAGCCATTGGCTTCCCCCACAGCCATTGGCTTCCCCCACAGCCATTGGCTTCCCCCACAGCCATTGGCTTCCCCCACAGCCATTGGCTTCCCCCACAGCCATTGGCTTCCCCCACAGCCAAGCTGCACAGCTGGACCATCTTGGCCGTATACCTCTTGCGTGGCAGAGGCAGGTGTCGTCATGGTAGGGAGCGTGCTATCACACAGCTACAAAAGCACTCACCTGGCGCGCTACCCAAGCCAAACCTTGCTCCAAACGCCACATGTGCTCATGCGCTCGCCTGCACGCCTCACTCCCCCACCTTGAAACTGTCTCGCTGCCACAGCAGCACGCCCGCATCACGCCGGCATTCACGTGGAGCATCTTTGCTTCTCCCAAAGACGCCCACACCTGCTCTTCCGACCACAAGGCACTCTCTCCCCTCCCGTACCCACCTTGAAGGTGGCGGGCGAGCGCCGCCACAGCATGACGCCAGCGTTGACGTAGTCCGTGTCCTTGCGGAACAGCGCCTCCGCCTCCCCAAAAAAACCCTCCTTTGAGTCGCCGTTCCGTGGTATCAGAGCCACAGCCCCTTCCGGCTGTAGCGCGGTGGCGGGCTGTAGCAGCAGCGCGGGGTCCTGTGGGAGCCACACCTGCCCCTCCAGAGAGTCGGTGAGATTGTCCCTCAGCAGCCAGTCGAAGTAGTTCTGCAGGGGGAGAGGAAGGGGCACACAGAAGAGGGAGAGGGGCGCACAGAAGAGGGAGAGGGGCGGACAGAAGAGGGAGAGGGGCGCACAGAAGAGGGAGAGGGGCGCACAGAAGAGGGAGAGGGGCGGACAGAAGAGGGGGAGGGGCGCACAGAAGAGGGAGAGGGGCGCACAGAAGAGGGAGAGGGGCGCACAGAAGAGGGAGAGGGGCGCACAGAAGAGGGAGAGGGGCGGACAGAAGAGGGAGAGGGGCGGACAGAAGAGGCATACTCATGTTAAAATTGATACCATGTGGCGAAACTTGTACCAGAATGTCCAAGATAGGTAGTAGCGCCAACATAACCTGGCAGCTTGACTTGCCTTTACCATCAGTCTCTGTGAGGGTGACGTGGGGGAGAGTTAGGGGTGTGGATGGGAAGGAAAGGGAAGCACTGGAAAAAGATCCAAAGGCCATGTGTAGTGGGGACCACCCACAGCTGCCCCTCCAGCGGGCCTGCTAGGATGCGGTGCGGTTGCCAGCAGTTACACTGGTGCTGCTCAAAGAAAAGGTACGCAGAGGAGGCACAGGAGCCCGGAGGCACAGGAGGCACAGGAGGCAGAGGATGCAGAGGAGGCAGAGGAGGCAGAGGAGGCAGAGGAGGCAGAGGAGGCAGAGGAGGCAGAGGAGGCAGAGGAGGCAGAGGAGGCAGAGGAGGCAGAGGAGGCAGAGGAGGCAGAGGATGCAGAGGAGGCAGAGGAGGCAGAGGATGCAGAGGAGGCAGAGGAGGCAGAGGAGGCAGAGGATGCAGAGGAGGCAGAGGAGGCAGAGGAGGCAGAGGAGGCAGAGGAGGCAGAGGAGGCAGAGGAGGCAGAGGAGGCAGAGGAGGCAGAGGAGGCAGAGGAGGCAGCCAGTCGAAGTAGTTCTGCAGGGTGGGGGGGGAGGGCACACACAAGAGGGATACACAAGGGGCACACACAATAGGCATAGCCAGGGTTGGTGGGAGCACGAGAATTGTACTTTGACATCATGCTTCGAAACCTGTTACAAGAATCTCCAACATAGGTAGTAGAACCAGCGGAATCTGACAGGTTGTTTTTTCTTTACCATCAGTCTTTGTGAGGGTGACGTGGGGTTGAGGTGGAGGTGAGATGGGGGTGAGATGGGGGTAAGATGGGGGTGAGATGGGGGTAAGATGGGGGTGAGATGGGGGTAAGTAAGATGGGGGTGAGATGGGGGTGAGGTGGGGGTGAGGAGGGGTATGAAAGGGAGGCATTAGAGAAAGTTGAAAAGGAAATGTCTTGTCTTGTGGGACCCACACCACACCACACCACACCACACCTGCCCCTCCAACGACTCTGTCACGATGGCAGCTACCAGCCATGCACGCAACGTGGTGCTTGTGGGAGGGAAGGCAGACAGTGGGGATGAGTAATAAACAGGATCAGAGCCACGGGCCCCTCCGGCTGTAGCGCAGTGGCTGGCTGGAGCAGCACAGTAGGGTCCAGTAGGGGGAGCAAAAATTAATCTCCCGAGCCTCTGCTTCAGCCTATGACGAACAGGTTCGGCATGGATGTAAACGGGCGGCCCTACGATTGCTCGCCAGGCGCGGTGCCCTGTTGTGGATCGGCATTACTGATGTGGAATCCGCACGGATAGGATGGAGAAAATGCCGGATGTGATGTGATGGGCACGACGGCAGATGTGCGATCATATGCACATAAGGCGACTTTGGCAAGGCAGTAGAGAGAAGGGGTGCTGATGGGTGAGGAAGGGTGAGGAACAGTGAGGCGGGGTGGAGAGGGAAAGAATCAACCACACTTAAGGTCTGGTGAGCGTGACCTACCCATGACTCTTCAAGAATTAATCGGCACCTTAGCTCTTTGTGTTAGTGAGACATTCTTCGCTCAAGAGAAACGAATCTCAAAGATTTGAGCCCAGAGCAAAGAACAGGCTGTTACAGGGTTGAAGACAGAGCGAGCAAGCACTGACCAGCTGCTTGATGGTTTGATGGTTTCGATTGGAGGCCAGAGCAAAGAATGGGTTATTGCAGGGTTGAGGCGAAGCGAGCAGGCACTGACAGGTTGCTTGATGGATTGGATCCAGGTGGGGATGGAGAGGCGGTGGTGGTCCATGCGCATGTAGGCGTCTGAGTCGAGGAAGAAGGCCCACTCGCAGCAACACGCCAGCTGTGACTGCAGGAACGGCACCTGCAGTGGAGCAGGGGGGCAGGGAGAGCAGGGGGAGCAGGTGACAGGCGATGCAGCGAATAAGGAATTCTAGGTGGTTAGAGGTGGTTAGATTCTCATGCATGCATTGATGAGGGTGGGGAGTTGTGCACTGCACTGCACGCACACTCCCTGATGGAAGCTCAATGCTGACTGCTTGCTGTGAGTGTGCGGAATGCACTTACACTGGAAGCGCCACACACAGGCAGCAGCACGACATGCAGAGAGTATGCACGGTTTACAGCATGCAGGAAAAAGCGGATGCATGGGCAGTGGGGAAAGGCACGGTGAGCAGTGCATTGTGCTCCACACATCAAGTGGTCAACCCCTTACCTCGGGTGGTCAACCCCTTACCTCGGGTGGTCAACCCCTTACCTCGGGTGGTCAACCCCTTACCTCGGGTGGTCAACCCCTTACCTCGGGTGGTCAACCCTTTACCTCGGTCCTCGGGTGGTGAGCCCTCACCTTGAACCACGATGGGTGTCTGTCCTGAGTGTATTTCGAACCATTCTCAGCCACCAATCGGTACCCATGGCGCCGCGCGTATAACCTGAAGGAGAGACGGATAGGATTGAAGGTGGGGGTTTAGGTTGACTTGCGTTGACCACATTGACCTGATCAGCCACACCAGCCAAGCAGCCAGTGCACACGTGCCTGTCCCATGCAGCATGCACAGAGGTCGTGGCGCCATGACTGGATAGAGCAGAGCAGAGATGTGGGACGTAAAGCATGATATGCACAGAGCGCTTGCGCCTCACCCACCTGATGTGCTCTTGCTCCTGCGGCGAAGGGGGGGAGGGATGGAAGAATGAAGCATTGACTGAATTGACTGCATTGACTGCAATGACTGCATTGATTCCATTGACTGCAGCAACACGTGCGTTCAGATTAACATGGGTTATTACCATGACACATGCGCATGTGCATGCATTGTCACACATACACATACACTGCGACACGATCACACAAAGGCACTTACAATGATGACACATACGCACATGTCGACACAGCAGCACACACGCACATGCTGACACTGCAGCGCCTAAGAGGTGTTCCGCAAGTGTTTGACCCGAGCACAGCTGTTCGTGTTTGGGTTTCGCTCATGCCCACAGCACCACACACGCACATGTTCACACGCACATATTCACACGCACGTAAGGGCATCTCCCACTGGTGCGATATGTGTTCGACCCAAGCACATTTGTGTTTGGGTTTCGCACATGCCTACTGCAGCACGCACGCACATGTTGACGGCCAGGGCGACCCAGATGGGGAATTTCCACATGTTCTCATGCCCCTCCGCATCCACCACCTTGGGCAATCCCGAGTAGAACCGCCGCCACGCCTCCGGCATCGCCTCCCCACCCCTCCTTTCCCCTTCTTCCTTCCCCACATCCTTCCCCACATCCTTCCCCTCATCCTTCCCCTCATCTTTCTCCTCATCCTTCCCCTCATCCTTCCTCTCATCCTCATCCTTCTCCTCATTCTTCTCTTCCCCATTCCCCTCGTCGTTACCCTCTCCTTTCCCCTGGTCCATCCCCTCCGCCTTCCCCTCATCCTCGCCCTCCCCCTTCCCCCCCTCCGCCTTCTTAACCTCCCCGTTCAGGCCCCCCTCCCCCTCTCCCATGCCCTCCTCTTCTCCTCCCTTCAGCCGCCTCCCCCTCCATCCTCCATGCCACCGTCCCTCCCCCGCTCCTTCCTTCAAAAGTCTCCCCTTCCCATCCCTCACCCCCCTCCCCACCTCTCCCTCATCCACCTCCCCCTCATCCCGTCCACCGATCCCCCCCTCCTGTCTCCCATCTCCCACCCCACCACTTACACCCTCTTTTCCTGATTCCGATCCCCCTTTCCTTTCTCCGCCTAACCCCTCTCCCCCCTCCCACTTCTCCCCCACTCCCCCCTCCCCCCACCTCCGCCGCCTCCCTCCCCAGCTCCCTCAGCACATCACAAAAATGTGTGCGTCTGGAAATCATCTGACCATTTTTTTTTTAAGCAAGCTTCAGCAAATCGTTTGACAATCATCCAAGAATCATCTACGAATCGTTTGTATAGCATTCTTGTCCGACCAAACGTTTTGGTGATGTTTTAGTAATGGTTTCGCGGTGTTACCATGGAATGTTTGTTAGATGTTAATTGTTGAGACAATAATAAGGTGGCTTAAAATCGTGTTTCACAATAAAAAAAGGTTATGGTAAATTGACATAGTTGCTACTTTATTTGCATCACCAGATGAACCTATTGAGCAGCTTCACAGCAGGGTCTTTGCAGCACGGGACAACATGCACGATGCCAAGAATGCAATCTGCATCTACAACTGCATAGTTGAAGGTGCCCTTCGTGGGCAACAGTCGTTTGCAGCCAGTGTACCGGCAGACTCGCCGATCCTCCGTGTAGTACTCGATGTAGGTGGCTTTTTTTGCCACGCCATCTTTAACGTAATGGAACAGCATCAAGCAGCGGCCGTACCAGTTGGCCCCTTTGCCAGCTGGATTTATGGCTACATCTGAAAAGTGCCTGTCGGAAGGGCTTGCTTTGACAAACTGCCCCTTCTCGGTCCACTCCATCCTGTTGTGCGGTGGGATTGCCATGGCAGTGTGCACCTGCGAATAGGCAAGCAGGGGTCGCAGCACAACAATGGAAGTTTGTGTTAGGGTTGAGACAATGGGGTGCTGACGAGTGCGTGGATACAACAGGGTGCCATGCCTGGGTTTGTGTAAGTTAAGGAGGTTGATGTCCCGCGTTTAACAGGTCTACGTGGCAGTGGCAGTTGATTCTCACATTGATACTCCCGCATTGAGCACCATATTGATTCTCACATTGAGCACTTGGTCGTGAATTCCCTCCCTGGCCAGCCGCTTCTTCAAGTAGCCCATCGCTTCATCTCCGTGAACAAGGACATAGCTCCTGAACACATCATCCGTGATGTGCCCCACGGTCATCTTCTTGTGTGTCTTAGTCAGCACCCGACGCCCAAGCGTGCAAGCCTGGGTAGGAGGGTGATGGGTGCATGGTGTACATGGGGGGCAGCAGGAGAGGGGCAGCACTTGAGTACAACAGGGGCAGCAGTGAGATGGAGCAAAGATTAGGGACCAGTCGGTTAGTATAGCGGGGCAGTTCCAGAGGTCAAAGGGTGCAGCAAGAGGAGGGAGCATAGGCGGACAAGTGTAGATCAAGGGAGGGCAAAGGAAAGACAAACGGCAGGAGGGAATGGGAAGTGCCGGGGATGGACATGGAGGAGGATGGGGGGGGGGGAACCGAGGGGGCGACGTGTTTAGCAGCACGAAGGTATATGGTGGATTAGTAGGGGAGCATTGGGGGCTGAATGACGGATAGTCCCACGGGGGCCGGGGGAGGGGCATGGGTGGATAAGTGGGAAAGCATGTGGGGCAAGACGGAATGTGAAGGGTGGCAGCTAGTGGAAGGAGCGATGGGTGGACAAGAACGCGAGCATGTAGATGCAAAACGGGATGTCAAGGGGGGCAGCGGGAGAGGCATTTCATGGGTGGACATGATGGTGAGCACGTGGATGCTAGAAGGGATGTCTAGGGGGGCAGCGGGAGGAAGGGAACAGGCAGGGTCTAAACAAAAACACGAGGTGATCGAGGGTTTCATGCGGCAGGAGCAGGCGGGGAACATTGGTGGGCAAGATCGGCCTTAGGTCGTACACAGGCTCACCTCCTTCATGGCTGTCTCGTATGTTTTGTCCCCGCCGGAGGCTCGAGACAGCTGTCGAACAACGGCTTGCTCGATATGCTTCTTCACAATGCGATCCTCCACACCCTTCCAGTTGGTGCCGCGAGAAGGGCGCTTCACTGTTGTCTTGTGGGACTGCTCGTACCGGTTCGACGAGTACTCCTGTGGCAATCCCCGTGCACGGATCGTCGGCGGGAGGTGCGATACAAGATGCACCTTGATAATAAGCCACTTCGACTTCTGGTTGTCGAATGCTAGAACAAGCGCATCGACCATCCTGGATAGGACGTGTTTGGGTGGATTGAAAGGTTCGGGATTGGGGCATTGGGTGTTGGGGATCGGTTTAGCATGCGTACGCATATAAACAACAATTCAGCAACAAACAACAGACAATGCCCAATACCCAGGTTCATGTACTACTACCCTCTCTCAAACCCTCCCCCCTCCTCTCATCTCCCCCCCCCCCCCCCCACCCACTCACAACTCAGCTTCCATGTTTCTGCCACTCCATTCCCCCACTCTAAGCCCCTCCTCTCGTCATTATGCCCCTCCTTCCCTTTTTCAGCGCATGCGGAACAGTCCACAGCCTATCGTTCCCCCCCCCCCCCCTCCCCTCTTTCCCTCCCTCGTCCCCTTTCCCTCCCTCGTCCCCTCTTGCCCTCCCTCGTCCCCTCTTTCCCTCCCTCGTCCCCTCTTTCCCTCGCTTTGCCCCCCTTTCCTTATCTTTTCCCTTCTTCCCCCGTTCTATGCACCCTATTTCCCACACACTGCCTCTTAATCCCTCCCTCGACCCCTTCAGCCATCTCACTGTCCCTTGTTCCCTATGTGCATGGCACCCACACCCATTCACGCTAGACTTACTCGCAGGAGACCTCCTCCATGCGCTCAAGCGTGGCATCGGTGTGATACTCAGCCCGGATAAACTCCTTGTACCAGTCCGACATGATCGTGATGGCATGTCGAATATCGGCGCGCTTGGGGAGGTCGATGATGAGGGGCAGCACTTGCATCATGGCACGGTGCTCCGACGCTGAGAAGCAGGCCGTCGTGGTGAAGTACGCCCATGCGGATGGGAGTCTCAGCAAAGACGCCGGAGTCGCTGCCTTGACAATCTTGTAGCGGCTGCACTTCCGGGATGCAATAAGGGTGTCGGTTTAGGGGGTGTGGGGCCGGTGGGGTGGGTTAGGGAGGGGGGGCGGGGGAGGGGTGGGGCTAGCGGGGTGGTCTTGTAGTTAGGTGCATCAGATCGCACCTCATCTCCCCGCTGCCTCTCTCTCAGTGAATCCCTTTCCGTCCTCTGCCCCACTCCCCCAGCCTCTATGCCTCATCATTCCTCTCTCTGCCCCTTGTTCCCTCGCTCTGCCCCATGTTCACCTCTCTCCGCCCCTCGTTCTCTCTCTTTCTGCCCCAATTTCCCTTCCTCGGTCCCAATTTCTTTCTCCATGCCCCCAATTTCCTCACTCTGCCCCACTTGCCCTCTCCCAGCCGCAATCTCCCTTACTCTCTGCCCAAATTTACCCCTACATTACCCCCATGTCGTCCCTATGCCCCGAATACACTATTCTGAATCCCGCGTTCACCTCACGCGACCTCCCCCCCCCCCCCCCCCACCCCCCCCCCTCCTATGCCCCTCCTTCCCGCTAGCAGCCCCACCTTCCTGCTCGCAGCGCCTCCTTCCACCTTTCAGCCCCTCCCTCAACGTCTCTGTCCCAAATTCCCTCTTTCTGCACCACTCCCCCCCTCTCCACCCCGCATTCCTCCAACGCTGCTACAAATTCCCTCACTCTTCCCTCCATTCCTCCTTATGTGCGTATCGTTCCCTCTCAACCCCGCAGTACCTCCTTAGCTCTGTCTCTTTCCCTCTCTCTACCTGCCATTCCTCCTTTGCCGCTTACTTTCTCATGCGCCGTATTCCGCCATTCCCGCTCGATACCCCAACGTCCCTCTCTCTGCCCCTCCTACCCTCTCTCGACCCCGCATTCCCTATCTCTGCCCCGTCCTCCCTAACTCTCTCTGCCCCACTGTCCCCCTCCATTCCCCTCCTTACCTCTCTCCGTCCCTAGTTCCCACTTCACTCGCCGCGTGCTCTCACTCTGGCTCGCAATCACTTCTCTCTGCACCTCCTACCTTCTCTCTGCCCCGTAGTCGTTTATAGCTGCCCCCCTTCCATCCACCTCCCCGTCTC